AACTTGGAATGGAACAATAAATCTAAAAAACACGTCGAGGAAGTTACAATACTAAGTAAAAGTTAACTAAAGTGTTTTAAACGCAATACTGCCGAAAAATATGCTATCTACCGCCTCCATGTCACAGCACAACCAACATGCACGCCATTACTGAATAAGCATGCGTGGAAAACTGTTGAACTACGTTAAAAACACCATTGGTCCAGCTATCTGCAATGTGCATGCGGCCAGTACGTACGCTGTTAGCACTTGAGGTATTTCACAAACAGGCGGCTTTTCTTAACACGTTTCTGTACCACAGAATAAATAATTCAAATATATTTCATTCGCCAACGGATTCAAAATCGTTTGTTCACGCATGAAAACAAAAATCCCACTTTTTTGTGCAAACTGTATCAAAGTAGGCTACTGTTCTCCGATCCTTTGGTAACGCATGCCATTCTCAATATCAAATCACATATGTAAGGTAGACCTGAAGTTGTGCCTGTGCTTGAGGTATGGAGACATGGACGATTCCACATACATATGTTTAACTCTGGAACTAAAAAAGGTGAGGTGTAGCTCAATGGATGGAATGCTAGAATGGCCCCAGAGCAAATCTGGGCATGGCGGCAAAGAGAAAAATCCCTGCCCCTACACAAATTTATATGAATCCAATTGTGCTGCTGCACAAATGCAAACTCATGTGAGTTTAGAAAATGTGATTTATGTTCATGCTGTGATATTGATCGTTAATATTTGCATGATTCATATGCATTAACAAAGGTACATATAATAATTTGAAAAAAATATATATGTACTTTATCTGAAGATGGAAAGTGTGAAAAAAATTACTAGTTGACAAAAACAGTTTTTGGATAGTAGGATCTTTAACAAGTAAACAAAATGTAAGGCAAGATAAATAATAATAAAATGGGTCCTTGGTAATTAAAAGAAAGAAAATAACTGATCTATTTGTTATGTATATTAAGTAATCCTGGAATTATGATGTCATGACACCCATTATTTTTGGAAGCATCTTTCTAGAGTTTTCTCTACATTCACATACAACATATTTTAACATTAGTGCCTCACTGTTGTGATGTCATGCAGTTCGCAGTGCAGACATAGATGAACCAGCCTTTCTGCACAAATGTTTGTACAAAAGAAGTACAATACAAACTGAATGACTTGATGTGATAAATAAAAAATGTTAAACCACTGAAAGAATGTCACCATTCAAACACTGGACCACTGGTACTTTCAAGCTGAGGCTACAATATGTCAGCATGCGTATTGACAAATAATACTGGGTCTGATGTGGAAAGTATTCAGAGCTATCATGTCTAACAGTTGAGTCTGTGAAAATTATGTACTTTATAACCACTGACTAAAGATAATATAAATCTTAAATTTATACAATTATCATACCAATTCATTCTTGAAGGTGGCTCCTAGACCTATCGAAAATCTGAGCCTTGGCCCTAAGTTTGCCCATCTCCATTTACAAAATATGAACATTCTATTAAAACACATTTCATTATAAAGACATGATTCTAGTGCAGTATTTGTGGTTTTCACAGCAGTGAGTCAGAAGATGGCTGTCTTCTGAGACCTCTGAAACTTTGGTAAACTACCAGACTACAGGCATCTTATGATTCCAGAGGCTGCAAGTTTCCATTACATGTAGCTTGTAGCATAAGAACATATGCCTCAATATTTAGGTTTTCTTCCTGCTGTAACTAATGGACAATGCACTATGTTTAATGTCAACAAACACACTCAGGTAGATACATAATGATTTTCAGTGCTGTATCATGTATAGTGGCCTGACTTACCTAAGGAGAGACTGAAAATTGTGGTCAGGTCTCCGAGAAAGACCACTAAGTTATAACAGATGATATTTGGCATATGTTTATTATTTGTGTACCATTTAATGCCAGGCCTGTAAACATTTTTCACTCCTAAAATTTTAACAAAGTTGTCCACTAACAATTTTTACTAAAATTTAAATATAATTAAAGCTACAAACTTTTCAGTATCAACTCAACCAGGACTGCATAGCACTTTAATGCACGCCACTCCCTTTTTCTGAACAACCTTGGTAAACAAAAGCATATCAACCAGTATTAAAGTTACATGGATACTGTCACACAACTATACAAATGTTTACTTCAATTACAGCAGTAAAATGTTTACACTACATATTTCAGCAACTCGCCATCTTTGCACGCTCAGATGCATGGAATGTCAATGATATATACTAAAATATATAAATCACATAATGGATAGGCGACACAATGACATTCCACGCATCTGAGCACCTGAAGGTAGCAAGCTGTTAGAGCAAGTAGTGGAAACATTTTGCTACTGTAATTGAAATGAATATTTATATCATTGTACTGATGGTATCCAAAAACATTAATGAGTAATATACACAACAGGATGTCACCTATTAAGAATATCAATTAGCAGTCAGTTTTCTCTTCTGTCACAGTGAACTCAGCTGTTTTTAGATTACAACCATGAAAGAATTAAAAAGACTGAACTGTTTATGTAGCAACCTTATTTGTAGTGAATAAAAAAGAACAGAACTACCTTGTCATGATTAATGGATTGTATGGAGTTAAAGCTGAGATCCTGCAGCACACTTCTCTGTTGGTGATGAAGACTCCCATGTGCAGACACTTCAGAATTGTGTTCTTTCATGAATGGTGCAGAATTTTCATCATCATTGTAAGATACACTGACAGACATGGTCACTGAAAAGAGATATGGATCACAATATTATCTTGAGGTTACTGCTGAGACATCTCGTATTTTTAACACTTAGAATTGTCCAAAATATCCAGGGCTGATGACACATCATGATCTGACAGTCCATACTCAGGAAACTCTGATGGAACTGAAGGAATGTCTTCTGGATGCAAAATATTATGAGAGCTGTTCACAACACATTCCACAGCATCCATTAATTGTAGGAAGTCTTCTTCTAATATTCCAAAATGTCCCAGAGTCATTGAAAAGCTTGAATCATCTTCTGCAGTTTTAAGAAAACTGTCATCTTCAAGAAGAAATGTGACTTCTGGTGGCAACGTGCATTCTGCAGAACGATAATTTGCACAGTCTGGGTCATAACATTTTTGGTAATAGATATGGTCTGTAAGGTTCACTACGTATTTGATGTTGTTGCTACGATGCTGACGACCTATATTGCCACAGTAGCGATAACCTATAATATCATAGACAATATGATTACCACTGCTAAAATAAAACCAACGCCAGATCCGTCCCGGAAGAATTAAATTATTCACAAATTTATCTACCTCCGGGTATGGTGATTCCACATCGCAACTGGATACAAAACCCTCAAAAGGTACTTTAGGACAAGAAACCAATTGTAATTCCTGCTTGACACAATGTCCATATTTAAGAACTCTTAAATCATTTGTATCCACTGGGACATAGGTTATAAGTGAGTCCAGAAATAATTGCATGTCTTCACTTTTATCCTGCCTAGATATGCTTGTAGGCTTGTACTGATTTTCTTTGCTAACAATTAGTGGTGCATTCTTATTCCGTTTGGAAGACATGTACAAACGAAAATGTCTGTTTTTAGTGTACACACCTTCATCACAAAACAACCTGTATGTACCTCTTCTGTCCAGAACAAGCAATTCACAGACATGCAACCTGTCAACATTTCCATAGGAATGTTTACCTTCAGCTGCACCCACCTCCTTCTTGGAGTGTTCATTAATATAAAGTCTAAGTTCACTGCACATGTTCTTTACAAAATTTCCTACATTATAGTTATCCTGAAAGACAGCATTTGGCAACATAAATATCAAATGTCTACTGAACTTTTTTTCCGTACTTGAATCTAAATCTAGCACATGATGTCTGTTAACAGTTATATCCCATTCCTTTTTCATATGAAATGATACTATTTTTATGAATGATTCCACCATTCTGTTCCCATCATGCTGACAATTACATTCAATACTAAATTCCAAATCAAAGTAGAGTTTACACACTGCATGCTCTAAGATAATTTCATACGAACTCCTATCTTCACTACTTCTTTTAGAGTCATAGAACCAAAACACACTTGGATGGGCAACCAGAAACAGGCGGCATCCAAATTTATCCTGAAACACAAAGGCCATTAGACCATTCTTCTTTGTTTGCACATAAACTAATGCTTCCTGCTGTTTCTTGAAAATCTTCCATGTTGCTGATGGATCCAACTGACGTGGCCATTTCTGAAACTGCAATTCTTTGCAATTATTTTTGGATCTGAAATTCTCAACCCCAATTTCACATACTTTGCCACTTTTGTTTTTTCCATAAAACTTCTTAGGGGTTAATGTAAGAGACTGATGATGGCCTAACACAGACATTTGTAAAAAAACTGTTTCCAATATAACCAATCATAAAACAAACTTTGGACACTATGTTCCGCTAGATTTGTAACGCCGACAAATTTAACGTAACGTATAGTTTAACACACATAATGGAGGGAAAATAGGTTTATAATTTTATAATTATTATTAGGCCAATACAAAATGTTACGTGTATATACGTCAATCATTACGTTTAAATGAACATACCTGTCTTATCGCATAACAATTTGTCACACAACATTACAGTTTAAATCAATGTAAATAATGAAGCCACTTTTAACCGCTTTCTGATGCATCTATATTTCTTAGCGCCGTATTTTGAACTTATACGAGGTTAACAATCAGTTATGCCAACGTCACTTCACGAAGGCCTGCATAATTATATATTCCTGAATTAAGCTGTACTAACAGATATTTAAGAGTAGGCAGATAGTCTTTTGCACCAATTTCAGCATTCCTTAATCTTATCAGATACTTCAATACTGCGTAGGAAATTCTTGGGCACACCTATTATAACACATACCGCGCGCAATGTTGGTTGTGTTGGTGTCACATAAATGGCAGTAGCGATCACAGATATTAGAATATTAGTGATCGTATACAAATTGTATCTAGCAATTTACGATGGATAAAAAAAGTGCCCAGAAATTTATGTTGTTAAAAATATAATTTTAACGTTATGTAGATGCATGCATGTTTTCGATTAACATGAAAGACGAAGGCTACTTATAAAGCCCGTTTTCTGACGTGCAGAAAACGTCGGAAGTATGATTGATAATGATTCCTTTGGGCCCAGAAAGGCCACAGATAATTTCCCATTGCCCACGGAACACAGCTGAGTCATCACAAATAATTCCTAAGATTATAAAGTTTATTGTTACAGTATGTGAAGTTCATTCCTTTCCAAGTTGGGTTTTATATTCAAGTGTCACCTAGTTTTCCTGGTAAAGTAGTTCATATTGTGAGAAACTTATATAATATTATAGCTTGTATTAAAGTACAGGTAGAACTGCAGAAATAGTCATTTGTCACCAATGGCAAAAGAGATTGAGTTAGCTCCTGGAAAATGGGTTGGAGGATCCCATCCATGTTTCATAATTGCTGAAGTTGGACAGAATCACCAAGGAGATATGGACATAGCTAAATCATTAATAAGAGCAGCAAAGGTAGGAAGAATATCAATCATATACATATGTTAAAAATAATTAAAAAACTATCTGTGGGAAAGGTGAGGAAGGTATGATCTTCTATTTCACTTATTATTTTATATACAAGGAAATCATTGATGAAGATGTGAATATTGTGTTTCAGTTTTTTCTGAAGAGACAGTCTGAATATGCTGTGAAGCCGTTAATTTAATGTAATAAGAGTACTAAAAAGTGTGTGAATGTTGTTACAATTTTTAAGTTTTTCTAATGTGAAATTATATCTATCAAGTTTTTGAAATTGGGACCACGTGGAACAGATTAGAAAGCAGCTTTACAAATCTCTTTAGCATACATCCACATTATGTGTTATACCACTAAACTTGTCACAGAATCAACCTTTTATTCATAGACCAATTGCCAACCTCTCATGCTTTCAGAAGAGTGCATATTATGCAGGAATCAAAATTTTCAACAGTCTACCATCAAATCTCACAAGTCTTGTAAATAAGAAGGAGCAATTTAAGGTAGCATTAAAAAGATACTTAATTACACACTCCTTTTACTCTGTCAATGAATTTATGTTGTTTACAAATAAATGATAAATTTTTCTTGTGTGTAATGGGTAGATCTATTTGTAGCTTATCATTTCTCTAGGTGAATACTTTGTTTTGTATTATGTGAAATTTATATAATAGTTTGAATTGTACTTTATAATATGTATTGTATTATTATTATTATGACTTTTTCCACATCCTATTGTCATCTGACTTGTCTTATGGATCCATGGAATGAAAATAAATTATTATTATTATGTTACTAGACATTACATAAATATAACAGACTGAATCAGTTATGTGAAACTACAAAATCTAGATTTGTTGGATAAATATAAAAGTGTGCACAAACCTTACAAAAATGTTTATTTTTATTTCTGCAGTTATTGATGTATGTCATTAAGATATTGACATGACCAAACATGTGTTGGTAACTGTTTACTGTATTCTAAAGTTGGGAACCTGTAAACTATTTGTAATTCCTTTAGGAAAGTGGTGCAGACTGTGTGAAGTTCCAGAAGACATGTCTACATGAGAAGTTCAATTCTGCAGCTCTTGAATGACCCTATTCTGGACCCAATTCCTGGGGCAGTACATATGGAGAACATAAGCAGTACCTTGAGTTCTCCAACTCTGAGTTTGGAGAACTTCAGAGATATGCATTTAAAATTGGAATCATCTTCACAGCTTCAGCTATGGACATGGTATCTAACATGAATAATGAAATTAGAGGTGACACATTGTAAAACTCGAACGATGTACACTACACACAAAGTATATCTGAACTTCTCCACTACTTTAATGCTGTTCCAAAGTTGTTATTGTTTGATTATTTTATGCTCCTGCCTGATTGGTATGATGTTTAAATGAGGATATTCAGAACGGGTGGTTGGGTGCCATTTACCTGTTGAGGTAAAGGTGGATGGAGTGGTAGGGTATAGCTATGGGCTGGTTAGCAGGCCGTTTGTGCATGTGGTTATCTCGGATACAGGATGTAGTCAATAGAGAGGATGATATGATAATCTTGGTTATTATTTGTGGCAATATAGCAGTTTAAATACGCAAATGGCATCTTTAAAGTTCGCAGCACAGAATCTACACAGAAGGTCAAACTACCAGTGTAAGATAAAGTGCATTGAAATTAATTTCTTCAGTATCCTTATTTTTCATGTGATGCACAATTTAAGTTAAGTTTTTAAAAGCTTATTGTGGAATTTTATTAACTGAACTTGTTGCAGAACAATGTTTAAGTGCATGTGATATGTCTGTAAACTGAGCTAAGAGTTGTTGCATCACCCCTGGCAAGGAAGCATTCCTTTTTGCAATATGATACAATGATACACAACAAGAAAATTAAAATTGATGACCCCTAATTGATCAGTCAGATTGAGACATATACCACTTCTTGACTAAACAATTAGTTTAAGCTGGGGCAGTAACTCCCATTGGCTAGCCACAATTTGTTATAGCAAAGAGGGTAAGGTTGTCAATTTTATAATTCCGAAAGAATCCAAGAAGCTAAACTTTCTACTAAGGGATGAGGCAAAGAAAAGCACCCTCAGTAGAAACTTCCATCTACCTCAGTTGCCAACCATGGTCAGTTTTTATAACCTGAATTTTGAATCTGCTCCCCCATTTTTGGAGTCCAGATTCTGCCTTTGGAAAATAAGCTGGGTCCTAGTCTATGGACTTGCCTAGCTACAAAAGAATCAAATATGTTCTTGGTTTTAGTTGATGTTCCCAATATAATTCATATTTAAAGACTTGCATAGAATAAAAACTGTTATTTTTGTTAATTCAATTCTAAAGGTTTCTGACAATGGTAGTTTACACTTAAAATCATTCATTGTCAGGACTTTTTCCTTCGTCTTTTCTTTAAAAACCCACGATGTTTCAGAGACTGGTTCTTTCTTCGTCTTCAGGTGAGAGGTACCACCATTTTTTTATGCATTGTGTGGTCTCATTGAAGGTTTCAGCAGATGCCCTGTATTCATTAGCAGTACCATTTATGAAGATTGGCTCTGGTGATACCAATAACTTCCCATTATTGCAGCATGTAGCCACTAAAAAAGTACCACTGGTTGTGTCAACAGGTGAGTGAGCTAACCATAAGGAACACTAGTGATTTTCTTCAGATGCCATTCATAAGAGTATCAGATATTTTCTAGGCTTCAACCACTATGATTTTGTTAATTAATGTAAATCATACAAATTAATACAATGTCCACATTGGTTTTCTGGATTATAAAACTGTGTGGACTGGTAGATCTACCACATGTTGTTAAAACCCAGACATCTTCCCTGCCATGAGAATGTCCAGTCACAAATTAATACAATGGCATGCTACTTTGAAACGTATGCACCATATTCTAATGTTGGATTTACCCATACCACAGCAAACATACTTATTGCAGTTTCCTCTGTGATAGAAAGACTTCACATGCCATTCTCTGTCCCTGGCACCCCTATTAAGCCATGCCTTTGACTAATTTCTCTTGTAGGTATGCAGAACATGGAGACAGTACATTCTGTATACAATCTACTGACAGCTGCCAAATCTCAATTTTGCTTGCTGCATTGTGTGTCTGCATACCCTACCCCTGCAGAGGATGTTAACCTCCGTGTGATACAGACGTACAAACAAGAGTTTCCTGATACTCCTATTGGCTATTCAGGTCACGAGCTGGGTACTGCTATATCAGTGGCTGCAGTGGCAATGGGAGCACAGGTAGGACAGGATGACCGAGTGTAACAGTGGTCTAATGGTGCACTGTCTCCCTGTATATGCGCATAGTTATGTAGCCAGTCAAGAAATTTAATAATTTTTAGGACTGCTGTATTCACAAAGAACAACCACTGGACCCTGATAAGAGCTTTTTCTTTTCTTTTCAAATTGTCATCTTTACACTATATTTCTGTAAGATCAATTTTAATAGTAGTTCTTTATATACGACTGTGTTTCCCATGTAGCTCTCTGACCAACATTATGTCTGCATTTCTCATTTTTCTTATGCATGCTATGTGCTGCACCTATCACGTCCCCTTTCATGCATCACCTTAACAGTAATGGGGGGGAAGAGCACAAGTTATGAAGCTCTTCATTTTTTAGTTTTATGCTGCTTTTTCTCTGAAAGACAGAATATGGTTCTCTTCAGGTACATTGTTCTAGCAAGATGTGTGGTGTGTGTCATGATGAGCTGACAGTCATATTGTGCGGTGAACCAATACCTTCTTTTTTTTTGTATTTTTTCATGAGGTTTATACTGTAGTTTTTTGTGCTGATGGTAAATTAGTCCTGCTGCTTTCATATCTTTAATTTTATGTTGTTAGATCATAGTCATGATTGAGTATGACATAACTTTCCCTTTTCCACCAATTAGAGGCTATGAGAATAACTAAAAAAGAACCTTTAAGTCCTGTAAAGGCGACTTCTTGCCTTTTGAAATCTACGTTTTCACTTCAGAACACAGTATAACATTTACAAAAAAGAAAATGGAGAAATTTTGAAATAATTGATATGACTTGCCTGCTGAAAAATTATGAACTCCCAATTAAAGGTCATGATGAATATGATTTACACAGGTAAGTACATTGAATGCTTGCAACTTTGAAGGGCCATTGTTTTCAAAAGGATATCATCAACCACTTAAAATAGTCTGATAAAAGCTGTCCATGAAAACATGCTAGATAACATTTTTAAAAAATTCAAGAAGCACCTTATGTCACCATTATGATGGATGAGACTTCTGATATTCAAATGGAATCACAGCTGTTTGCTTTGAGGTGCATTCATGATGGTAAAATTCAGAAGAGATTTGATGGTTTTACTGATATTAATTCTGACAGAAGTTCTTGGGGATTTAAACACCCACACAACTGGACTTTCAGTCTAACAGTTTAATGGTAGTACAATGCATGGAAAGCTGTATCATGTCTAAGCTGCAACACATGGACAATACAGATTAATCATGAAAAAATGCAGTTTGAAAATTAAATTTATAATATAAGTTTGTATATCAAGTATATGATGGGGCATCAGTTAATTACAGATGTTTGAATGGTCACTATAAATTATTGGTGGTATATCCACTCTCCCTTTACATGCACTACTATGTGCATCAATTAAAACTTGTTCTTTCTTAGAGCCTTAGCAACATTAATGAATGCAGTGCACTTTTTCTACCACAAATGAATCTACTACCTTTACATCATATTCAACCAAGAGAAGTCCCGCGCCATAGCCGCGCGGTCTGAGGCATCATGCTTCGGACCGGCAATCCGGAATGCACGCTGGTTCGAGTCTCGGGGGAGAAGAAATTTTCTCATGAGCTTTCGACCAGTGTATGGGACCGGTGCCAACCCAGCATCGTGAGGAAATTGGGGAGCTACAATGAGTAGCATAATCTGGTCAGGAAAGCTAGCAATGGCTGGGGGTTTGTCGTGCTGACCATAAAAAAATGAAAACTATTTGTTAATTTTAAAGTTAACTAATCTTTTAATGACTTTGTTGTGTCTGCTTTTTGTTGGAAAGCATTTGAATGTTTGGTTGCAGCAGTTTCAGTTGATCCTCTAGATGGGTATCCGTCATTTGTGACCTTAAGGGCGTCTTGAAAAATGTATTAATAAAAATAAAAGGATTTGTTCTGTAAAATTTGGATTCAGTCAAAAGGCCGCACTTAAGGACCTAAAAGGCAACATGTGGCCTTAAGGCCGCAGGTTCCCCACCCCTGCTCTAGACTGTTTGAATATATTTATTACTGGGTGCCATGAACAATACATGTACCTAGTAGCAGTCCCCAGTATCGTCATACCATCAAAATCGATATGGTGTTCTGCTACCACTCACTTCTTTGATTGCTCGAGGAGGATGTGCTGTATATGGGCTCTGCATCTAGCCATGATAGTTCTGCATAATAACTGACATCATTAATCATCTTTCAACCCATTTTACAAGTGCTGGAAAAAAATGGAATTTTTAACTTATTAAACTATGCCAAATCTGAAGCCTACAATTTTAAGGGTACCTTTGCTGAATGTCTTATATGAAAACTGATCGAAGTCTATGATGTTATCTTTAGCTGTGCATTTCTGAGAAACAAATTAACTGGCCTTCATGGCTCAGAAACCTTAAAAGGAAAATGAACTTATGATGGTTTCATAGCAACAGTATGGCTACCACTTTTGAACAAACTTATAAACTAGCCAATTTAGTATCAACCAATTCACCTCTAGTGGCTTCAGTTAAAAAAAAATTTTTTGAACCTTGAAAGCATCAGGACTTACAATTGCTCTACTCAAAGTCTGGGTCATCTCTCCCTGCTGTCAACAGAGAAAGTCTTAGCTGCAGATCTGAAGATACACCTAATTTCTGTGATCAAGTACTTAAAAAATTCAGGCCATTGTACAGGAGTCCAGAGTTCTACTTTAGGTAACCAATAAATGCCAGGTACAAATTTAAATATGTACTGCATTTTTGATGTTTTTATGCATTTGAACCACTAATTTGTTTAGTTCTTTCAGAGAGATAATATGCAGACAGACCATGCCTCAAGTTATGCACTTTGGCAAAGAATAGGTACACATTACAGAAATAAGACACAATTCTTTAAAATATGCTTTGAAAATGATGCCCCATGCTTATGCTAACAAACACATGCTGTGCATTGACATGATCTTGTGCTTCATAGGTGCTGGAGAGACACATCACTTTAGATAAGAGCTGGAAGGGCAGTGATCACGTGTGTTCGCTAACGCCATTGGAATTCCTCGACCTTGTTAATCAGGTCCGGATTGTTGAAGCTGCACTAGGAAATTCAATCAAGCAGTTTCAGCCCAGTGAGGAACCATGTTATAACAAACTTGGGAAGACTCTTGTGGCAGCTCGAGACTTGTCTGCAGGAGACCACATTACGGCAGACAGTGTCAAAGTGAAGGTTGCAGAACCCAAGGGTTGTCCAGCTGAGAGATACAACGATATTATTGGAAAAGAATTAGTCAGGGATGTTCAAGAGGATGAGAGTATTATGTCCACTGATGTAATATGATCACACCATTTAGACTCCTTTCTTTGTAGGATTTTCAGCATGAGAAAACTATTCTTTCACATTTTGAAGAATAAACTCTCAAATTCTTGTGGGTGCATAAAATATTGTAACTTTAAAATATGAAGCAGAACTGCTGACCTTTAGTCTGCAATATTTGGCAAAGAAGTTGAACAAGGAATGGTGAATGATATTTGTAATTATATCTGCATGAATTAAAGTTTCCAGCACATGAATAAACAAGGGCAGAAAGGTATACCCAACTTGGAGTATAGTGGTGTTCAAATGTGTTGTTCACAGTTCTTAATCCTTGCTCTGCCTTAACATTTAATTTATAATTAGCAGCAAGGAGAAGGACCGTTCTTGAAGGTGTAGTCATGCAAGTGATCAATAATTTCTCTATGTTAAATGGAAACCAGGGGTTCATTATACTTATCTTTCATCAAACTTCACTTTCAGTTCATCCTTCCAAAAAATCAAAATAAATGTTGGTATAGAATTGGGTCTCCCCCTCCTGCTGGATCACACTACATACATTCCCAACTGCTCTCTTACTTTCTGGTTTTCCAAACATATAAGTTTGAGCAAGTACTGCAAACAGGATGGTATGGGGGTGATGGTCTTTTCTGGGATATTAATCTGTAGCCCAAGGTAGATGACGTTCATGACAGGCACGAGATGGGACTTCGCTGAATTGATGGTGAGGCTGAGGTGCTGAATTGTAGCAATGGTATGCCATCATGGAGGCATTGTAGTGACAGTGTAGGTGATGAGCTGTGGTCTGAGCAATGTGTTGCATGAGAGAAGGTATGAGGGCATGTCCCATTGGTAGCTTGGTGAACTAACACTGTTGACCGTCATAATAGATGCCATGATACTTGTGGAAATACGTTGATATTCTTCATCATGTCTGTATGTGATTATACTGAGCTGAGATGCACCAAGTACTGTCACAGAACAACTATGACAGCACCAACAGTCAATGCCAGAACTCACCCTTTACCAGTCTCACTCATGTGAGGATCCTGAGGACAGCCTTCCTGTAGGGCCATAGTTGTCACCTGATTCACTACACAAGGAGGTTAAGAGATTAGTTTCACCCATGAATGCTGGCATGGGCCTTCATGATCTCTGTACTACATTATAGCTCCTGGCAGTTTGGTCAACACTCCTGGAAGCTGTACAACCTGGTGTCTTCACAGATGACATCATCAGTGCACGTGCTGTCTTTTCATCAGGTTATCCTGTTCCAAGTTCTATTGAACGTCGGCCCTCAAATGGTCAAAGTGCAACCCTAATTTTTTCAAGATCCTGCTAGGTGTACCTCTCTGCCACACCATTTACTGATAACATTTTATCTTCTGCTCCTTAACCTCATTCCTGTCTTTGTAAAGGCCATAAGTTAGGCCCACCTATAGACAAACCACAGAAATAAATTAATCATGGACATATCACCCCTTCCAAAATCCAGATGCATATTTTCCATAATCAGTCAACATTTTCCTGAAATAAGTGGCTAGGACTTTTATTTTGCTGTTTCTAAATTTCTGAAGTCAATTTGTTACTGAAAACATCAAACACTGATGTTGCTAGTGACAAACTATTCCCAATAGCAGCATACTTCTGTTAGAGATAAAGTATCCCATCTTTAATCTTTGTCAGTTGAATAATGCCTTGCATGAGATTTTATTAGCTGTCAAGCTGTATACCCTGTAAATAAAATTAAGGAAAATGCCTGACAATACATTTTCAATTTTTCCTGACTTATGCTGCAAAGTTTCCAGAGGTGAACTGCTGTTGTAGCATGGCAATCCACCATACTGAGAAGTAGATCCTTTTCTGTTCCTGTATAGTTCTGTAAGGACTTCCAAGAAATCCATCAGGAAGTGAATGGTAGATTGAACATCCCTTGATATGTCAATTGATCCATCAAGCAGGATGCTGACTAAAATTGAATTATTTATATAATAGATCAAATCTTTGCGTGACTTTCTTTTGTTTGTTGTAAAATATTTTCATTTTTAGCAATGTATTATGAAGAGCTGAATACATTTTAAATAATAAACCATTTTTTCATCTGCCTTTAACACATATCTTGTGATGAGACAAGATTATGGATTTAATTTTACTCTTAGTGCATTTTCAGAATTATGTTGATTGGATTTTTCATGTTGCTTAATATCGTACTTTTAACTTCAAAAGGACCTGTGGATCCTTCGAACATTTTTTTACAGCCAGTCACTTACTTCAGAAAACAAGCTGCATGTGTTGCAGTTTGCAATAGCTGAGTCTGAATCATAATGAAGCCAGGGCATTTGATCTAACCAACATGTCAAAAAATTTACGTTTAATATGCAAATTAGCTTTTTGGGTCAATATGACTTTCCAAGTTCAGTTTTTTTCTCAACTGGGTGCCTCCAATGTTTGGGTGAAATGATGAACCCACATTTCATCACTGATGCTGATGCAACTGAGGAACCCCAGGCAGAAAGAAAGGTGCTGATGTCAAATTCTGTTGCACAGAGCATTCCTGTCCTTGGTTTCATAGACCATACAGCAATAGTGAATGCAGACTGCAACACCTAAAGAAAGGCATCCAGAGGAAACACCCTGGCTTGCTCAGGGAGAAAACGATCTTTCATCACAACTAAGCCCACACCCATATAGCTGGGTCACAATGTAACTCCTCCAGCAGTTTTGCTGAAAATGTCTTGTCATTCACCATACAGTTCAGACTTTGACTTCATCACTAAGGAAGCACTTAACAGGAGAACATTTCTGATGATAAGGTGAAAACTGAGGTGTACCAGTGGATGCAGACATTGAGCCCCGATTTCATTCTCTGTGGGAATCGCACAGGTAGTGTTAATGGCTGGACAAATGTCTCTTGTGATTATGTGGATAAATACAGTGTCAGTTAGCCCTTGTTCTTTTCATCATCTATGTCAAATTAAGATAATGTCAAAAGTCACCTATTAAACAGCCCTCACTTATCACCACCAACTTTCTCATCAACTTCCAAGTTTTACATTTTAACATTTTTCCTTTTATAATCTTATTTTACTGCAATGTGAGTGTAGGAATGAAACTGCTTGCCAGCCGGGAGGTTGAGTATCATTTTTAACAATTCATTCTTGAATAACTTTTAGATGTGATGCGTTTTAACCCTCATCATCTTTGCATCACAGTTAACATGTAGTCCAGCTGGCTGTGCATTGCATTAGCATCATACTGCTGAACTGTTAACCCCAGAGTTAAAGTCTGGCCAGCAGCTGTGTAATAGACAGTTTAAATTCATATTGTATGATAATGGTTATACACTAATGATGAAAAACATACATATTACATTTATTATCATATTCTATGCTGACTGAAGGAGAAATCACAGAGATGGCAATACAGACTAGAAAAATAAGTACACTGAAACTGACATACATAATTAAACTAGAACAGAGATAAAATACATCAACCAGAAGAGTTTATTAAAACTCCACTGCAATTTAAAGTCAAGAGACTACATACTAAGTACTAGAACCACAGACTTTGTGCCTGAACACAGCTTGGCTTTTAAACTATAAAGGTAACTTCAGGTTTCTGATGTTTTTATAATTTTTATCTTTACAAAATGTAAATTCCTTCATCCAAGTCTACTTCAAAGGCTTCAAAAGTATAATATAACATAAGGTTTGGTGCAGTACTTTGTTAATCCTGTCAATGGCATATTGAAATCACCATGAAATGTTATGTACTGTATAGGGAGGAGGGAGTGTTGCATCATTTTCTAAATCTTAAGCATGTACAAGTCAGGGCAATCATGTGGAGACAAATATATGAATACCATCTTTGTTGGAATGCACAGAAACATCATTCTAAAACTGCATACATAGAACTGGTGCAATAAAAAACTTTCCTCGCTGCAAAATGTATGATGATATATTAAAACAGAATTTTTAAATTCAGAATTTCCTTAAGTAGGATCTCATTTGTTTTTACAGAGAAATGCATGCCCCACCCTTCCAATTTCAGTCTCAACTTCCATGGTTCTTGCACAAGAGAAGTGAATAAAAGACTAGCAAAGGGGTGACCTTGACTCAAATGAAAAGAAGACATTTTTTTACTGCAGTACATGACTGTTTTTGGGTTGTGTTTTAAATACTACTACTACTTTCTGTATCTTCCCAACAACTTTCAAATTACACTTTCCATACTTGATCCTCTTCTGCATAGTATGAGTGGTCACACCAATAACAGCCCCCATATTACTTTATACAGTATATAACAATATAACTGTAAACATGTTTTGTTATGCAGTTTCACAACTCTACTTCCTAAACTGTTGCCAGTTAAAATGAGTAACAAGGACCCCAAGGACAATTGCTGTAAAAGTGAAAGTGTGTTTATTAAACATAAATAAATTGGCGATTTCTTGTGAGATGCAATCATCTGTTTGGTATTCCTACAGCACTGAGCCCTCATATGATGAACCTGCAATATACAACTTCAATGTCAAGCAACTTTTGCTTTATAATCTAGTGTTATGAACATAAAACAAAGTAATATTTCAACAAACACAACATTTCTTCAGCACATAACAAAGTATAAACAGTACTTAATAACATTTAGCAACTGGGTTTGCCTAGCAAAGCCAGCATTGCTTTGCCCATTTTCACTTACTGGCAAGACCAACAAACCACATGGCTGTCTGGGTTGCTGGGGTTCAATTTCTGGCAGGAATTCCAAACATTATCATCTTCACCACC